ATATCTCATCTGAACTCTTATAATACTTAGTGTCTTTCTTTAAATTTTCCTTACTTTGATTTAATTGAAAAGGAAACTTCACATCCCATTCATGAATAGAAAACCAGTAAAAACTCCTTTAAGTAGAAGATGCCTGTGCCATTAAATTCTGCTACTTGGGTACCACTTCCCACTGATGACTCTGAGGTTGACATGTGGGTATTTCTTTGTCAGAATGGAGATTAGCAGAACCGAAATACAGTTAATGAGAGAACAAGCTTTTCATACTGTGTGTCAGTGTTATATGAGGTTCTGTCTATATGTCACCTAAACTTCTCTTGGAAAAAATGCCCAAAACTAGAGGGTGTAGAATTATTGACTGTCAAAATGTATAGGTGGGAGTGGTCACACCAATCAGTTCTCTGCTGAAATATGGAGATCTGGTTAATAGTTTAGTGTCTTATAAACCAGGCTTTGGGACCTAGGTCACCACCTTTGATAGTCAATAGCTATGAGATGTCTGGACATTTTTTCGGTTAGCCAGAAAGGCCATGGTCTCAGTCTCACTCTGCTCCCGACAGGTGCATTTTTGTGCACAGGTGTAGGTGGTTACCCTGGGTGGAGAGTCTCACCTACTCCTCTCTGCTGAACAGAAGTCACACCGAGTAGAAACCTCACTGAGAATCCCAGGGTTGGGAGGCTCCCTTGACGTCACTTATTCATTTAAAAAATGAATCCAAAGCCCCGATTCTGGAAATCTTCTCTTAACCAAAACCTGGGAGAATGTCCAACTTCTGTGCTTAAGATGTGCTATAAACTTGGACATTGACTCAGCAGGTCAGACTGAAGGTCTCCCTGGATGGGTCAGCTCAGCTCTCGGGCTCTCATCTTAGCAATTTAAAACACAGCTCAGCATCCTCATCCTTCCCTGCTCCGTGAGATGATGGGAACAGCAGGCCATTGTCAGCCGGGCTCTCCAGCAGAGGGTGGGGTGTGTGGGGGCTCAGCTGAGCTGGGGGCCTTCCTGGCTTTCTCAGCACACGTCTCTGGCTGCCCCTCTGCCCGGTGTGGATTCCTTCTCCAGCAGCAGTACTTGGTCTTCTTCCGTGCTTGGCTTAGGGCTCCGGGAGGTGGGAAGCAGAAGCCGGTAGAGCCCTAACCTGGCCCAGAGTCTCTCCTAGTCACTTATTGATTAGGTCGGCTTGGGGCTGGGGGACGGGCAACACACCGGCAGAACAATGCCACGGTGACAGTCTTTCTAGGGAGTGGCAAGGTGACAGTGCATGAGCACACATAGGAGGGACAGTTGCGGCTGTCGGGGAAGACAGGCTGGGTCAGTGCCCGATGGTGTCATCAGAACATCCTCTCCCCATTGCCCTACATCTATTCTCAAGAACACGCCCCTGGTGTGAGAGCGATGTCCACCCAGAAGCTCCAACTTTCTGTTTTGCAGCCGAGCTTGCCCATCCCTGGACAGTGGTTCTGATTCTCCCAGCCTGAGTCAGCCTTCAGGTGGGTGGTCAACCCCACCTAGAGTGCAGGAAACAAGAGGCTAGGCCTCCCACAGAGCATCAAGCCTCCATGGGCACAGGTGACTTGCTGCTCCCTCTGCCTACGTTGAATCACGCTCTCACAAGGCGCTGAGTCTGTGTGCCTGGGAAGAGCCCATCCTTCATGCTGTCTGCAAGGGAAGGGTAGCATTGCACACAGGTTACAGACTCAAACCCCAGATCCAGGTTGCCTGAGTTCAACTCCAGACTTTGATGACTAGCTGTGTGGCCTTGGGCAAGTTATTTAATCTCTTAACCTCAGTTTTCCTGTCTGTAAAATGGAACAATAATGACATAACACCTGCTTCGTAGGGTTGTTGGGGGGATTAAGAGTTCGTCCGTGTACCACCTTCAGCACAGTCTTCCTGGCCCACAGTGAGTTCTCATTAGACACTGGAAGTCATATTCTTCCTGAAGTGTGCTTTATATATTAAGGGAATTAATTTTTCGTCTGTTAAATTTATGACAATTTTTTTCTACATTGTTACTTGCCTTTTGACTTTGCTAATTTTTTTGGCTTTACAGAATATTGTAATATTTATACCCTCAAATTTATCCATTTTTCTTGGGATGTCTGGATTTTTGCTTTTCTTTTTGTCTCGTTGAGAAAGATGTTTCCTCATTTTGTATGTTGGATGGATTAGGATTTAATGCTAACCACAAGAAAACGTATCAAATCAATTTGGCAATGTTGTGCTTATTTCTTTTTCCTTAGCTTGTTCTTTGTTTGTACTGAGGGCCCAAGTTTGTAATGTAATTTCCTTAAAATGTTAATGTTTAAGGCACATTGTGGGTCTTTTAAGCCTGTGTGAAGACACAACCTTTTGTAGAAATAGGAGCTTTGTTCCGTGGGTTGCGTTAACTAAATAAAAAACTCGGTTTGGGCCCTGAGGATCGCCTTCAATCTATGCTTACCTACCGCCCCATGGAATTTTTTAATTTTTTCTTTTTCTTTCTGGACAGAAAGACATTTGGCCAAGACAGGATCATTTTGAGTTGAGTGAAAGGAATTTTTAAACGCAGCAAAGTTTTTGGAAAAAATTAACTTTCATAAATCCTACTGGGAATTTGTTTCATAACGAAAATTTCACAATGGGCTGGGCTCATTTCCCTGTGAAACTGGTTACTTCTGAGTGTAGAGAGACACTGCCGGAAGGTTTGGGGGGTTTTCTGGTCTCTCTGTACTACCAGGCAGAGACAGCAGTGGCCTTGAGTCTCCGTCCTCCACCAGACCTTTCAGCGAGCAGGCTTGGGAGAGGGACTCGGGAAGGACCAGCTGGGCTCTGGAACTCCACTGTCAGCTGCCCCTGCGCCTCTGTGCCACCCCCCAAAGGGCCATCCTTTTGTAGTGGGGACCTGCATTATGGGGCGCTTTGGAGAGCCTCTTGCTTCTTTCCTCAGTAGCCCTGAGGACACAGCCCCCATGACTTGGAGTTCCACGCTGGAGCCTTGCAGCGGTCTAGAAAGGTCCAGGCTCCTGCCAGTGTTTTGAGGTTCCTCTTATATTAAAAAATAAAATGGAAAAATTCCAAGATTATAAAAATTATGCTGTTTTTCATGTTTGTATCTGTGCAAAGGCACAATACAATTGTTGTAAGATACTGTCACAGTGCATTTGAAGGACCTGTGACAGATCTAGAAGAAGCTCTGTAAGTTTGACCACTCAAGGGACTGTACCAAACTGGTCAACATATGGAGATGGTCGACTTAAGGAACTAGGTCTACTGTACTGATAGATACATGTGGTTCATGTCTGGTCTATGAAAATTAGAGTGGTCAGCGTAGGGAAGTAGTCAGCCATGGAGGGGCTACTGTGTATTAATTCTTAAGGTGTAGGATGGTTGGTAATAAAACACCAATGTTTACATGAATGAGAAATGTCTTTTAATTCAGTGACTTTCTAAGACTGTGCCTGTAACCTTACTTGAAGATTAGGTCTAAAGTCTAAACTTGGTTCCATTTATATAAATAAGACCCAGGTCAATGTCCCACAGTCTCTCTCCATCTGTCCACCCACCCCCATCCCATCATAGGGCCATTTTGATTAGCCCTGGGAGGCATGGGTCCTCTCTCAGCATCACTGAAGCTCTCATACCACAGTGCCCAGGCCAGGCTGGGGGTGGTGAGGCTGCTGGGTTTGCTTCCAGCTTTTGTAGGCAGGGTCTAGGCAGGTAGGTGGCTTAGCACACACACATGCACAGAAACACACACAGTTTATTACACAGAAAGAAAGGCCAGGTGGGCAAATGTTCTTGGGGGCCGATGCTCAGAATTGGCATCCGTGTACCACACTGCAATGACAGAGAGGCCCCCAGCTCTTCCGAGTCACTGACCAGGTCTGAGCTATGATGGCACCTTCAACAAGGGCCCCCCTAAGACCTGCAAGGGTGAATTCAGAAATAGAGAGCCACCATCAGAAGCTGAGCTTTTGAAGTTGCTCTTATATTAAAAAATAAAATAGAGAAATTCTAGACCAGGGTTATAAACATTATGCTATGTTTTCCGTGTCTGCAGACATTTGAAGGATGTTCCATCTGACTCTTGTGATGGAGGGATACGGCTCATTGGCACTCACCCAAGTAGCAAGGCCCATTCAGTCCAGGTGGAATAGTACCCTCAGCCCTGCGTGGAGCCTGGGGCCACAGCTTGTTAAGAACCTGTACAGGGGGACTCAGACAAAGCTCTAGCTGCCAGTGTCCCTGTGGGCACCATGCTGCATTCATCTGTTGGAAATGAACACTCATAGATATCAAAGACCTTCAAGTGTGCTTCCCCTTTGGCAAGAAATTCCCCATTGAGATGTGCAAAAAATATTTCGCTTCAAGTTCTGTTTGAAATATTTCCTCAAAAAGTTGAAGAAAACCTTAAGACCTAGCAATAGGGGGTTGTTGTTTAAAAAAAAGTCATACCTGTTTAGAATGTAATGCTGTGCAGGCATAAAAATGACAACGCGGACATGTATTTATGGACCCTGGAGGAAGTTCATGGTGCAATAAATTTTTGAGAAAAATGTTGTTTATAAACCAGTATGTGTGAGATGGCTCCTTTCTTCGTGAAATATATTTATAGAAGCGACTTTGGAAGCTACCACAATGGGGTGTCTGGGGGGGTAGGTCTCTGGCTCTGTATACCCCTCTGATCTGCTGGGGTTTGCAGAGATCTGAACCAGTCACTAATTTAGCAACTTGGAGCAAAGTAGACTCAGTTTCTTCATCTGTGTAATGGAGACAGAAACGGGGTTTTTTGTGCTATTTAAAAGAAGACAATTCATTTACACCTCTTAGAAAAGTGCCCTTAATAAATACTAGGTAATATCACTGTCCTGTTTTCAGAATTGAACATACATTGTCTTTAGAATGAGAAAAAAGTACCTTTTAAATGAAGAATGAAAAGCAGAGGAAGTATCTGCTTCTGAAGCGTTATGTCCCTGTTTTCTATTAATAACACGCTCACCTCTCTTCCTTTCCTCAGGGGTCACATTTTCTTTTTTCTGGAAGACACAAGGAGAGCAGTCCAGACCCATCCCTTCTGCCTATGGCGGACAGGTCATCTCCGATGGGTTCAAGGTCTGCTCCAGCGGCGGCAAAGGCTCGGTGGAGCTCTACACACGGGACAACTCGAAGACGTGGGAGGCCACCTTTAGCCCACCAGGTGAGTGACATTGATGGCGTCGGCCCTGAGACTTCAGCTCTGAGGAGCAGAGGACCTGAGTCTCCCCAAGAATGGATGCTGGAGTTCAGCAGTGCAGGGAGCCCAGAGGGGCTTTGGTGACCTGGAAGGCCCTTGGAGGGTCTTGGAAAGTGCCCTTTGCTCAGGTGACCTCTGTGGGGGACAGAGCTGAGTTCCCTCTGTCCTTGATCTTGTGATCCCTGTGAGTTACCTAACTGCTCTGGGCTGCTCCACTTGTCATATCTGTGAAGCTCAGATGACATCAGTGGTACTGACCTCACAGTTTGGTGAAATTAAATGGAATTTTGCACCAAAGTGCATGCAGGGACTACATTTCTCCTTTCCATTTTCCTTCCCTTCCTCCTCCTCCTCCTTTTTAGTGGTATAGGCTTATAATGGTTTAAAATAAGATGGGGAAAACTTTTGGAAAAAGAAGACAAAGCTTTGAAGAACAGAAGGGATGTCGGGGAGAGGAAAGCAGGGCTGGGCCGGGGTCTGTGGCGGAGGAGGGTCCAGTGTGGGGAGAAATGAGGGGCTCCAGTTTCTCTTAGAAATACAATAAACAGGAGTGGCGCCTGTGGCTCAAAGGAGTAGGGCCCCTCTGGCCCCATATACCAGAGGTGGTGGGTTCAAACCCAGCCCTGGCCAAAAAAAAAAAAAAAAAAAGAAATACAATAGACAGGCGAGGTTGACAATAGGTGGGTGGAGGGTGGGCTGCCTCCCCTCGACAAGACAACCACCCTTCAATGTGCTGCATCAGCGCAGAGACAGAGGTCCCTGGGAAAGCAGGCCCTCGCAGACTGGGATTGTGGCACCAGGGTGTGACTATGTTGTTGTCGTTATCTTTAATGGACTCTACCTTTTCGAGCAGTTTTAGGTTCACAGGAAAATGGAGTGCCAAGTTCAGAGATCCCCCCACCCCACCCCATGTACAGCCTCCCCCACCAAAGCCGTGCATTTGTTACCACTGATGAATCCATTTGGGTGGCGTGGTCACCCCAAGTCCACATTTTACATTAATGTTCACTCCCCGTGTTGGATGTCTGATGTCTGATGTGCTGGCGAGGTGTCTGCTCAGGCTTTTTGCTCAGTTTTGAATGGGGTTACTTAAGGGGTCTTGGCCTGTTTTGGATAACATCCTTTGTCACGTCTTTTGCAGATACTTTCTTCCTGTCTGTGGCTTGTCTTCTCGTTCTCTTGACAGTGTCTTCCACAGAGCGGGGAGTTTTAGTCTTACTGAAGTTCGGCTCCATTATTTCTTTCACGGATTATGCCCTTGGTGTTGTTTCTAAAAAGCCATCACCAAACCCAACGGCCCCTAGGTTTTGCTCTTCAGGTATCTCCTGGAAGTTTTACAGATTTGAATTTTACATTGAGATCTATAATCCATTTTGAATGAATTGCTGTGACAGATGTAAGGTTTGCACTAGATTCATTTCTTTGGCCACGTGGGTGCTCAGTTGTCCCAGCGCCATTTGTTGACAAGACTGTCTCATCATTCTGCTTGGCTCATTTGCCAAAGACCAGTTGACTGTATTTGTGCTGGTCTATCTCTGGCCTCTCTGTTTGGTTCCCCTGGTCTAGCTGCCTGATTTTTTTTCCCCTAGTACATATGCACCACCCTGTCTTGATTTATAGTAACTCTCAAGGTCAGGCAGTGTCAGTCGTCAGATGTGATTCATTGCCGTCAGCATGGTGTTGGCTCCTCGCCATATAAACTTCAGAACTGACAAATCCTGACTGTCAGTTCTAAAGTTCTAAATAAATTTGTTGATATCCACAAAATAACTTGCTGGGATGTTGATTGGAATTGTGTTGAATATGTAGATCAGTTTGGAAGGAACTGACAACTTGACAATATTGAGTCCTCCCAGCCATGAACATGGGATATCTCTCCATTTATTTAGCTCTGGCTTCATTTTTTTCATCAGAGTTTTATAGTTTTCCTCATATAGATATTACACGTGTTTACATGTTTTACTAGATTTGCAACTAAGTATTTATTTTCCTGTTTTTTTTGAGTGCTAGTGTAAATGATAATTTTTTTAAATTTTAAAGTACATTTGCTCGTGCTGGTATACAGAAAAGTCCTTGACTTTTGCGTATTAACCTTCTACCTGGAAATCTTGCTATAATCATTTATTAGTTTCAGGAAATTTTCTTATTATTGTTGATTATTTAGGGTTTTCTACATAGGAAATCATGTCATCTATAAATAAAGTTTGATTGCATCCTTCCTAATTGTATACTTTTGGGGGGCCTTATTGCATTAGTTAGAACTTGCAGTACAACGTTGAAAAGGAGTGGTGAGAGGGGACCTTCTTGCCTAGCTCCTGACCATGTTGTTTTTTTCATCTGGGTTCTGGTCTGACTGGCTGCTGCTTGTGTCCCCCCCTCACCCTCCGGCCTTTGTAAAAAGCATTTCATCACCTTTGCTTGTAGGCATTGAAATTTGTGAGTCCTGTGTTAGAATAACAAGGGGTCTCCTTGTTGGATTATGGGGATGGGGATAAAGGGCAATTTCTTTCCTGTGCTCTGAAGGGCCAAGAAAAGTCAGATCTGTGTTAGACCCAGGCTAGGACTCACTGAAGTTCACAGTGGCTGATTGGAGAAAGAGGAATGTGCTGAGAAAATATGTGCCTGGGAAGCCTGTTGCCGTGGGGCTCAGGATGGGAATCTTCCCTCTTTTCCAGGTCCCTACTGGACTCACGTCCTATTTACATGGAAGTCCAAGGAAGGCCTGAAAGTCTACGTCAATGGGACCCTGAGCACCTCTGACCCAAGTGGAAAAGTGTCTCATGCCTACGGGGACTCTGATGTCAACCTGGTGATAGGGTCTCAGCAGGACCAGACCAAGCGCTATGAGAATGGGGCTTTCGATGAGTTCATCATTTGGGAGCGGGCCCTGACCCCAGACGAGATCGCCATGTACTTCACAGCTGCCGTTGGTCAGTGAGCACGAGGGTCTGGGGCAGGTGCGGTGTCTGTCCCTGGGGTCCTCTTTGTGTCTTCCTCCCCTTCCTCGCATTTCCCTTCTTCTCCCTCCTGAGACCACAGTCAGTGTGCAGGCATGAGACTTGTTCTTGGTACTTCTTAGAACGCCTGTTCCTGGAGGCAGAGGAGGCTAGTAAGGTACCAGAGGCACCCTGAGGCCAATGTTCTTCTGATGGTCATCACCAGGTTTCACGTGACAGGTGATGATAGAAGGTTTTGGAGAGCAATCGATCCAGTGCTTGCCGTGTGCCTTCCGGGGCCGTGCCCTTTGAGGGGTCCCTGGAGAGCCCCCAGGATTCCTCTTCCTGCTCTGCACAGGGTGGCTGTTCAGGGCAGAAGTCCGTGGGCAGGTGGACCTGGGTTCAAATCTTCCCTATGCCCTGATGAGCCGTGGGACTTTAGAATTTTTTTTTTTTTTTTAAAGCATGGAGGTAAAATTCACAAAACACAAATGTAACCATTTAGAAGTGAATGGTTCAGTGGCATCAAGTCCATTCTCAATGTTGTACAACCACCACCTTTATCTAGGTCCAACCCCCCTCAAAGAAATCCCATGCCCAGTAAGCAGTTCTGCCCCCGCTCTCCCCCAGCAACCACTGACCCCTCGACCTCAATGGATTTACCCATTCTGGAGATTTCATATAAATGGCATCATATAATGTGTGATCTTTTTTTCTTAATATCTCAAGTCACCTTTTTTTCTTTGTAAAATGGATAAAAATAATATGACACCTTCTCCTGAGGAGTGTTGTGAAGAAAAAATACGAAATGATAAGCAATGCCATCAGTGCAATGCCTGGCACATGGCGAGTTTTCAATAGGTCTTAGCCCTTTTTATTTTTACTTTCACTTTTTTTTTTCAAGACAGAGTCTCTGTCACCAAGATGGGAATGCAGTGGTGTCATCACAACTCACTGCAGCCTCTAACCCCTAGCTTAAGTAATCCTCTTGCCTCAGCCTCCTGAGTAGCTGGGACTATAGGTGCACTACCACATCTACCTAAATTTTCTTTTCTGTTTTTTGTAGAGATAGGGTCTCACTATGCTGGTCTTGAACTCTTGGCCTCAAGAAATTCTCTTGCCTTAGCCTCCCAGAGTGCTGGGCTTACAGGCCTGAGTCCCTGTGCCTGGCCTATTTTTAAAATCAATATTTATTTTCCTTCTACTATTGCATTCTCATTTTGCCTACAAATGAATGCAGTTTATTATGTCCACATAAAATAATGTGTCAGTAAACAATAGCCACCAGGTAGGCATCTTGCATACCTTAGGCTGGCTGGTGGCAGAAGCCTAAGCTGGGAGGTGAAAGCCCTGGGCTCTTGCCCAGCAGACCCTGCTGAGGTTCTGACAATAAATCCCTCAGTTGTGAGGACTCTATTGATGATCTGTGAGAGAGCTGAGCTCAAAATAACCCATCTTGCACAATGAGCACTGCAGGGAGGATTTGTTTCAGAACCAGTGTGGTCCAGGTACTCAGATGACATCAACAGGAATCTGTATTCAACCCTGCCTTCCTTCCTGTCAGCCTCCTTATGGTGCCAAAGTGGCTGGCACCCCTCCAGGGTTGCACCCTCAGCCCCCAGCAGTCTTGGCAGAAGAAAGGATGCTTCTCTCTCCTGTTGCTGCTTCACTAAGGCTGGGCAGGACTCATCTGGGTTCACATCAATCCGCGTGTCTTCCAGGGGTCAACTACTGTGGCAGGGTATATAGAATATGACAATTGGCTTAGGCCTGGGTCAGAGTCCACCCTTGAAAGAACAATGAAGTCAGCTTCATCTGAAACACACAGAGGAGAGGTCCTCCCACAAAGGACGACTGGGGTGCTGATCTTGGAAGAAGGAGCAGGCTCTGTGCAGGCAGGACCTACAAATGCCCACTGTGGCCTTGGACACTGTCTCCTGGCTCCTACCCAGAGAAATGGAATTTGCCCCCTTTGACAGAAGTGACATAAGGACAAAATACATTGTCCTTTGGAAGGAAAAAAAAGATAATCAATCTACAACATTTTGTTGCCTAGGATTGAGAGTTGCCACTTTGAAATCAAGATATCACTTGCATTTGTGTTATGAAAAACCTCACATGAATCCTGCCTTCCTAGTAGTCTACTATTTTAATGATATGGGGAAGAGGTGTCTTTATTTCTGGGCCTTGTAGGCAGCACAGCAACCCTCCACCAGGACATCTCTGGCCCTCCACACTTGCGGGGGGTAATGCCCACTTCTTTGAGGGATTCAGAGGAGATGCTCTACGAATGCTTACATCTCTCAGAGTGCATGCCCTGCACCATTCCTGAACCAGGCTGGGTCCATTGGAATTCCTTGTCACCTGGTGATTTGATTCTGAAGATAGGGCGTAGGAGGGATAACACTGGTGGTCCCCCTCAAATGCCCTGGGTGGGGCCTGACATGCAGTGTATGAGCCATGGGCTCAGGAGTAGACAGGACCTATTCTTCATGTAAAAATCTATCTGCACTTGGGGCTGCACTGGGGCTACAGGCGTCCCAAGGGGCATTTCTCTGAGGTACCTGTCCTGAGGGTACGCTCATTTCTAACCCCATGCGCCAAAGTAGGCACCATCTTCTGAGCCACCTGTCCAGACAGGGCCAGGCCCACCTGTCCCCACCCTGGGACGGACAGCAGATGCTTCTGTGAACAGAGGACCTTAGAAGGCTGCCTTCAGAGCCTCAGGATGTAGGACCGAGATGGCCAAGGAACCAGCTGTCTCCTCTCCATTTCGGTCTCACATGGGCATCACTGATTGGGGGGGGCACCTGGTGTCCTCACTGCTCTTCCCTTTGTCGTGACGTGAGTTAAGTGTGAGTTTGATGTGGCTCCTCCGGAACTCACTCACAGAGGAGCGAATGTCACTCTGACTTGGACAGCTGTCCCAGCAGCATCATGCCTCCTGCACTCTCCAGCCAGACGCCCAGCCCCACCCAAACCCCAGGGCCTAGTCCCTGCCAGAGCCAGCAAGGTGAAGATGTCACCTCCTCAGCTCATCCCTTAGCGACCTTGAGAGATGTCCCATAAATGAAGTGGCACATCTAGTTAAGTCTGTGTGCTTGTCAGGAGATGGTAGGGTTAGAAATCAGCGGTGGGGAACAGGCAGAGAACAGGCTGAGACGAGCAAAGCACAGCTCAGCCTTTGGTCTGGACATCTTCATTACCAGTGATTATTCATTACACGCCCCATGGGGCGTGAGAGGAGGGGATGATAGACTCCTCAGGGTGGCAGAGCTCGGAGAGATGTTTATTGAGGTCTCTTCTCACTTTGTGTGTCTCAGAGGAAAGCACTCCCAGTCCCCTGTGTCTCCCCCCACCCCACCTCACTCCACCCCACCTCACCCCCATCCCTACCCCCCTGCTCTGCGTTTTATCTCTAACTGGTCTGGGTGCAATAGAAATCTATTTTCTTTGGTTCTTTATTTGAAATCAGTAATACCTTGAATAAAATCGTCTTTTTAAATAATGACTCGCATGAAGGGTGTTCAAAAGCAATTTAGAATATAAATGGAAAAATAATTTGACCCAGGAAAATCCATACAGTCTACCCATTAAGCTGATATATTGGCCCTCTTCCCCGCCAGCGATGTCCCTGCTCAACACATTTTCAGGGTCTCTTCCATGTCCTGAAATGGTAAACTTTTGAATAGGAACAGGTCTGCCTTGGGTGAGAAAAGGTGGCCGTGCTTTAGTCCTTATTTAAGCATTATTTTTCTCTCCAGGAAAGCATGTGTTGTTGTTGTCGACGCTGCCAAGCCTCATTGTGACACCCACAGCAAACACCGCGGTGAGCAGATGCGTTTTCCTTGGCTTCCTGCTGCCCCCAGTTGATGTCTTTTTGCTTTGACAGTTTGCCAAGAGGGATGAAATTCCACTCCCTGGGCTGGGCACGCTCCTGTTGGCAGGGTAACTGGGAGAGATGATTATGAAAAGGAAGACAACTTTGATACTAATTCGTGGCTAAGTGTGATGATGGAGGAGAAGCCCTTTCCTTCCTGTCACCAGCAACCTCAGGTGCCTAAAAGGAGTAGATGAGATTCTTACAGCGGCTGAAGGCTCAGGTCGCCTCCCAGGCAGGGGGCTCAGTGAGTGGGGAGTGGAGGGACCTCTGCTTGTGCCCTTCCCTTCTGACTTTGGGGAAAACGATCAATTCCTATAGAAAATGTTACCCTCTGGAATTAGTATTTGGAATCACAGAGCTTTCCTTTTCTGAGAACTTTAAGGTAATAGTGTGTGTGGACTCAGAACCGTCTGCCTGGGCTCAGTTCTATCTGTTTTGAATCCTGGTCCCACCACTTATCTTTGGGTGGAGCCCTCTGTGCTTAGCTCTGTCCGTCAGTTGATTACTTCATGAGGTTGTCCTGAGGTCGGAATGGTTAGCAAATGCCAAACAGTCTCAAAAGTGCCAGGTACATAGGAGGTTCTGTATTGTGATTTTATTTTATTTATTTTTGAGGCAGGATCTTGTTCTGTCACCTGGGCTAGGGTACAGTGGTGTCATCATAGTTCACAGCAACCTCAAACTCCTGTGCTCAAGCCATCCTCTTACCTCAGCCTCTTGAGCAGCTAGGACTATAGGCACCTGCCACAAAGCTGGCTAATTTTACTATTTTAGCAGAGATGGGGTCTCACTCTTTTAGGATGGTCTTAAATTCCTGAGCTTAAGCAATTCTCCCACCTCAGCTTCCCAAGGTGCTGGGATTACAAGCCTGAGCCACTGCATCTGGATGGTATCATTATTATCATTGTATGAAAAGTGTTTGGCCCAGAGTGGGACACTCAGAACTTCTGTGGAGTACTTTGGGTTTGGTTCTTAGCAGCAACTTACGTGGCTGACCTCTTTCAGGTGCCCACAGACGCCTACCATCCCATCATAACCAACCTGACAGAAGAGAGAAAAAACTTCCAAAGCCCCGGAATTGTGCTGAATTACCTTCAAAACATGTCCCTCAACTTACCCAATAAGGCCCTCTCGGAGGAAACAGCCCTGAACCTCACCAAGGTAAAGTCGTGTGAAGTCTGTGCTGAGGCTGTGAGTCCCAGCCCATATGCGCGTTCTGTTTGACCTCTATAGAGTTTAAAAGTCAGGAATTTTTATCTGAAGTTTGGATTCCAGGCTTCTTCTGGGCAACTGGAGGGTTTGTCCCTGGCCGGCTCTGCACAGCCTTGCAGTGCCTCCCTCGGGGCCCTGCGACTTCACTGTGTTTGCCCAGCACCCAGCAGAGGCCTGGGCAGTGCTGTATCCTTTACAGGATATCCCTTTTGGGACACAGAAATCAGTGCAGGTCTACATAGGAGACCTCCTACCCAAGCTCTGTGTCTCCCTCTCCCTGCTGCTCCCCGCTCTCCATCAGCTAGAGCTGAGTCAGGAGTCAGTTCTGGGGCTTTCCAGGCAGGTCAGACAAGGCAGGTGGGTGCAGGGAAGGTGCAGCAATAGGGAGGGGCAGAGACTGTGGCAACCCAATTCCATTCAGCTTGTGTGAGGGGAGCCACCGCCACCCAAGACCTCTGCATCTTGACCATGAGAGTTACCTCTTCTGATTTTGCAGGGAAAGGCCTATGCCTGTGTTTTTTAAATGGAAAATCTCCCAGTTTAAAAAAGTGGGTAGCGAAATGAAATATAAATGTTTTTTGAGACGGTCTCACTTTGTCCTCTGTAGAGCGAAGTGAGGTCATAGCTCACAGCAACCTCAAACTCAGAGTGCTAGAGTGCAACCTCAACCTCAGCACTAGAGTGCCATAGGGTCATAGCTCACAGCAATCTCTTGCCTCAGCCTCCTAAGTAGCTGGCACTACAAGTGTCTGCCTCAATGCCTGGCTATTTTTAGAGACAGGGTCTTGCTCAGGCTCGTCTCAAACTTGTGAGCTCAAGTGATCTACCCGCCTCAGGCTCCCAGAGTGCTGGGATTACAGGTGTGAGCCATGGTGCCTGGCCCCAGCAAAATGAAATTTAAAAAAGAATTACGTGCAGACCAAATAAAAGCCATCTGCAAGGCAGAGCTAGCTCAGTGGGCTTCAGATTGAGGCCTCTGGTGTGGACCTCGACTCTCAGTGCCCTGGAATGAATTATGCAGATTTACCTCAAACTCCAGTGATCTCTGATTTGATAAAAGCCCCTGGCATGTGCCAGACAATTCTCATGGGTTCTGGCTTCTCGCCCTAAGCACAAGGGGCCATCCTGCGCTGTGCTGTGAAGTGGCTGTCAACCACTTGTGTCTCACCCAAATGGAGATGTGCAGGGAGTGTGAGGCACACACTGGGGTCTTAAAGCTTCTGCAGAGAAGACTGTGAACTATCTCATTAGTAATTTCATATGGATTACGTGCCAGAGTGATAACAGGTTTATTGAGCTAAGTAAAATATATTATTAAAATTAATTTCACCTGTCTTCTGTTTGCTTTTTCAATATGGCTACTGGAAAATTTAAAATTATAAATGTGTCCATATTATATTTTCATGTGAGAGAACTGTTCTGGGTCAGGAGTCAGCAAACCATGGCCCTTGGGCCAATCTGGCCCATTGCCCGCTTTTGTAAATAATGTTTTATTAATTTATCCTCCTTCATTTCTGTATTGTCTGTGGCTGCCTCGGTGTTCCTCTGGCAGAGTGGAGTGTGACCCAGCTGGGTGGCCTGTACAGCCTAAAGGCTTTTTACTATGTGACTCTTTAAGAAAATGTTTGCAGACCCTGCTCTAGCCCAATAGGGATGATGATTGTTTTTCATATTGTGAAGTTGTAAGGCCTTGCACTTAGGGTCTTAATATATATTTATCAAATAAAGATACATGAAAGAGTGAGGAGTTTTTGATGATTTATTCTCTAAGCCTTTTGTGTTTACAAGTGTGAGAAGAACATGAGCATTCTAGAGATAGAAGTTTGCTGGAAATATGGGCTATTTAGATCAACTTCTCAGTTGAATTCTGGTCCCTGTAGTAGGAGACAGTTAAACGCCTACATGAGTAATGTAAGTAGTGAAACAGATCAGGTGTGAGGCGGTAAGGAGTGGTGGGGACCTCAGTGAGCTGGGGAATACAGGCCTTCTAAGGGGGCAGCTGCTGCTCAGCTCAGGTCAATTATGATTTTGTGGGAATGTGGGCTAGGCCGTGTCCAAATGTCTGCGTTTTTTCAAAAGAAGCAGGAAATTCACATATTTTCATTTAGATCTTCTACTTGGAAAATGTTGGAAATTAATTTCATTATTTTTAGAATGGTAATGAGCCAACCAAATTTTTTTTTTCTTTTCTTTTGAGACAGAGTCTCACTATGTCACCTTGGTAGACTGTGATGGTCTCACAGCTCACAGCAACCTCAAATTCTTTGGGCTTAAGGGATTCTCTTGCCTCAGTCTCCTGAGTAGCTGGGACCACAGGTGCCTGCCACATGCCTGGATATTTTTTGGTTGCAGTTATCGTTGTTGTTTAGCAGTCCTGGGCTGGGCTCGAACCCACCAACCCAGTATGTGGCTGGCGCTCTACTCACTGAGCTATGGGTACTGAGCCCCAGACATGGTTTTAAGGTGACTTGACCAAAGAGCCCTGAAGACTCTCTGCTTTACAATTGGCACAGGTGTTTCAGCATCAGCTTGGCATACTCAGTGGGCCATGTTTTTTTTCATTCTCCACCCATTCATCCATCCAACAGGCATTTACTGAGGGCCTATTGTGTTCCCAGGTGCTGTGCTTATGGCTAATGCCATAACCCTGCATTGTCCCTTCTGGCATCTCAGTGCTTGTCACTGACTTTACAAATCAAATAACTCCATCAAAGGGCTTTGTAAAATGTAACCGGATACACTAACATGAGCTGTTTTTGTTTACTGATGTGCTCAAAACTGAGTCGGCAGTTGATAGAGACACCTTGGGGAATGTGAGGAAGGTCTTCAGACTTGAGGCACAAGAATATATGCTAAGCAGTGTCATTTTGTCCCCCTTTAGACTTTCTTAAAAGCCGCAGGAGAGGTTCTTCTACTGCCCAGTTGGAACGATGTGTCAGAGGTAAGAGAAAAGAACATTCTGATCTTTAAAAACATATGTACCTTGGGGACCATTTTGTCTTCCTAGAAGTGGCATAATATGGCCCAATTCACATCTATAAAAGGGTTGGTGCATCTCAGTTCTGACATCTGGGACATTAGGGCCCATTTTGACAGGATATGCAGCTGATTCAAAATGTCTTGTCTTCTCTCTGGCTTGGGAATTGCGTGAGTACCAGTAATGTGTTACTGTCCTCAGCACTGAAGAAGAAAATGATTTTTTTTTTCATGAGGAATATTTGTCTAGTCTTTATCCCTTTACAGAATGTATTTTTTTTACTAGCATGTCATTCTTGAATGGTAACAAAAAACCACATTTGATGTTTAAAGATCATTGAAGCAGAACAGGTGACAACATGTACTTCATGATTAAAGTGTGAAAGAAAGTTTCTATTCTTCCCTGTGGCCAAAATAATTAGAAAGGAGAATGGAATAATTTTTTCTTTGTTTCTAAATATAACTTTACTAATTTTACTTATTTAAAAAATAAAACAAATAAATAGTTGTGAAGAAGTCAGAAAATTCAGATAATAGAAAACATATAAAGTAAATGCCTGAAATCCCAAGACTCAGAGATTATTGTTAACATTCTTGTCTTATTATGTTTGTTACAATTTAATTTTCAATTCACACACATATACATTCTGCAAAAATATTTTATATCCAGTTTTACCTATTTTTCCTGAATTGCGTTGAGAATATTTTCTAATGATGTCAAATATTTGTCTATAACACTGTTTTAGTCAGGACAGGCTTGGTTCTTCTGCAGTAACAAATATGCCTCAGCAGCTCAGTAGTAATTTACTTCTCACTGTGCAAAGTCCTGTGTGGGTAAAAGGAGCCTCTTCCCTGCCCATAGGCCCAGAGCGCTCTCCATCTAATTCTGCCTTTTTAACACATGGCTTCCAAGGTTGAGGGCAGGAGCAGAGATGGGTGAGGAGGACCCTTGATTGCCTTGACCCAGAAGGGCCCAACCACACCAGCGTGATATTAAAGGGCTCATCTCTGTAACCTGTATAAATATTTAAGAAAAGTTTGCCAGTTTGAGACATTCTCTCATTATTAATAAGATTATATTATGGTTTGCATTTGAAGAACATTTTGTTTGAAAAAGTTCAAATGAAATGAGATTAGGTTTAACATTGAAAGGGAGAAAAACTAGGTCAAGAATGTAAGATCTAGAAATGAGTTCTTTTTTAAAAAGTATAATCTCCCAAGGCTCAGATGTCCAGGGGAACTTGACCATGAGTCTACAGCCTGGGAGATGTCTGGGGGACACCCACGAGGCTGCAGCAGACATATTTTGTGCATTGTTTTTTTCTTTTTTTGACTCTTTTGCCCTGGGTGGAGTGCTGAGGTGTCATAGTTCACAGCAACCTCAAACTCCTGGGCTCAGCAATCCTCTTGCCTCAGCCTCCTAAGTAGTTAGTACTACAAGTGTCTGCCACCGTGCCTTGCCTTTTTTTTTTTAGTAAAGATGGGGTCTTGCTCTTGCTCAGGCTGGTCTCAAATTCCTCAGCTCAAGCAATCCATCCACTTTGATCTTCCAAAATACTAAGATTACAGGCATGAGCCACTGTGCCTGGCTTTGCACATTATTTTAAATTAAGTTTTTCTGAATGTGAAATACACAAATCTGTTACAAAATATGAATAAGCAGGGAACTATTCAGACTTAGGCAGGCTCTAATACACATTAAAGAAAATGTATGAATTAGCTGCTACCCAGCAAAATCAAATGCCAGAAACACAGACTTCCTGGGGTTTAAACTGTCCTGTGCCAGGGGCCTGAAAGATTTTCAAAACTGGCCACAGAACCTTATTTCCAGCTCATCAGGCTCTCACGAGCATGGGTTTGTGAGGGATGATGACAGAGCCTCCTCTGAGAGGCAGGGTGGGGAGGTGTGGGAGAGGGCTGAGATCGGTGCATTCAGGGGTGTGTATCTGAAGAGGAGGGACAGGTGGCCCTAGGCTACCAGGATGGAGCTGTCTTCTAAGGACAGCATGCACAGGATCCTTTCTGTCCAGGGCTCAAATGGGAGCAGGGGGCACTGGCAAGAGAAGGGAGGCACTGGGCTAGCCAAGGACACCAGAGATGATATGGGGAATGGGCTGGAACTGCTAGTGTTCTTATCCCAGAGGGGACCCACAGGCAGTGAGGCCCTTCCTCAGGAAGCACTCAGGGCCCAGGGGCAGGTTGAGGACTTACTAAAGGATCCTTGTGAATCAGGGCGGAGCTCAGGCCAGGAAACCCTGACCATTGTGTCTATGTGCAGAAATGCATGAGCCTGTGGCCTAGGTGGCTGGTCCACCTTGACTTGTGTCCACACTCCATGAGCTCAGGTGTGTGGTCTCCTCCCGGTCTGTGAAACAGGGCAGGAGTGTGACTTCCCCATCCCATAGGGCTATGATGAGGCAGCTGGAATCTGTGTGATGGCTGAGTGTGGTAGGTTTTCCTGGCCCCCTCACGCCTGTGTTTCTTCCAGGATGGCAGCATGGTGCTGGGCTTGGTCAATACCATCGATACCGTCATGGGCCACATAGCTTCCAACCTGCAGGCCAGCGAGCCCCAAGTCATCATTGAGGGATCTTCCTCCATGGCAGGTAGTGGTCAGTGGCATGTGGATGGGGTGGGAGTGCCAGCTATGGGGTTCTGCAGGGAGGGGCCTCACCAGCCCCGTAACCTGTGCAGAGCCACATTTGGTTGGAGTCAGGGCAGGCATCCTGGGCCACGATGTATACATGGGGCCATATAAATATCTCACAGTGCCTCAGTCTTCCACAGTGTCTGTGGGATGAAGGGGCAGGGTCAGCCTCCCGGTGTCAGCTGATGTGGCTTGGTCTAGGTCCGAGTTCCTGGGTGATTGTGGGGTCATAGCTTTCTATTACCTACGGAGAGCCATGGTGCTGAGCTTTACATGAGGATCATGCTGGGGAAAGGAGCTTAACTGACCTATGAGCTTTAGAGCATAGTGTCAGCTGTGACACACATGCCTGCAATCTGAGTCCCAGACATCTTCATTTTCTGTGTCACCCAGGGTCCCGCAGAGCCTGCAGGACAGCAGCGCCCTCAGCACCCGGGGTCTTCCTGTGTACTGGATCTCCTTAGGTAGGAGACCCAGATTGGCAGCCAAGGTTTAGCCTTCTGGTCAGAATTACTTCCAGATACTTATTGCTCTTTATGTTTTTGGAAGGGCCAGGCCTGCTAAAGGAATTGACACTATCTAGGGGAGCTTGTTCTTGAACTTTACCTTAGAATTGAAAACAGTGTAACATTTGTACCCTCATATTAATTTGAAATAAAAAAAAAAGAAAGAGCAGACAGGTTCAAAGCCTAGTCCCGGGTCCCTGCCAACTGCTGACCATGGATTCCTCCCTTTCTCCTTGCAGAGTTCACTGTGGCCAAAGTCCTGCTTAAGGCCATGAACTTCTCCCACTACCGCTTCCCAGCTCGCGGGCAGAGCTACATAGAGATTCCCCAGGAGGCCTTCTGTGGCCAAGGTGAGTGCACCTGCCCTTGCTCAGGGTGACTGTGGGTCAGGTAAGGGGCTCATCCACTCAGGGCTCCGGGTTCTACTCTGAGCAGGTCCATATTCAACCTTGTAATAGAAAACAAGTGGCGAGGGGACCCTGTGACTCTGACCAGGGAGTGCTATTGAACCCAGGAGCCTCTGCCTATCTTGCTGCAATGACCACGACCTTCTCTGGTCCCTGGAAAAGTGAACATGCCCTTGCAGACGTACCCTGTCCCCTCTCCTCTGTTGATTTTCTGGCCAGAGGCTGCACCACCTTCTTGCACCACCTCAAGGCTGGGGCTGGGCCAGCTAGGGTCTGATGTCTCCCTCCCCGATGAGAGGCCAGCCTGTAGGGAAGGTACCCTGGCTGGTCACCTGCTGCACCTGCTGGGTGTCAGGAGTGCCTGCTCCTGGGGAGGAGCAGGAGTGCAGCTACCCTACGTACAACCCTCATGGAGCTGGGTGGGGTCCTGTGGGGCTGGGGCTTGGGTTCCCATACCCAACAGGGCCACAGCCACACAATTCTGCATCTCACACTTAGCAGCCAAGTCACAGGGCCTTGGGCAACTTACTGAACTGGCCTGTGCCTCAGTTTCCTTATCAGAAGGTGGGGACAGTATCATTCTTGCCTTGTATCATTGTGTTAGTTAGTTGAGTAGAGAGTTTATGATGGTGCATCTGTGCTAAGTACACTCTGAGATGTTGACACTCTACAGATGTTCCTGGATGACCTCGCATGTCCTCTAGTCCCCTCTAGGCAGCCTCTGGGGTGAACGGAGTGAGAGAACAAGGGCATGTGGCTCCTGCTTCACAGTTGTCATGTAATAGTGAGGTAGGGCCAGGTGGGACACAGTGGCATCCAGGGGTCTGCAGCCCTGTATAAAGTGTACCTGTCCCCATTACCCAGGGAACACAGCAAGGCTGGAAGCTGCCCCTGCCCCTGAATGGCCAGCACAGGCCCTGTGATGTTCCTGGCTAGTCCGACTCTCTCTGGTGGCATCAGCCTCTGTACATCTGGAGTTAGCAGGGGCCGTGGAGTAGGAGTTGTCATTTCCACTGACACAGGGTTACCAGCCTCAGAGTCTGCCCTGAGTGTCCTTCACTTCCTCCTCCCCAGTGACTGGAGCTGCCCCAGGTTTTTGGGTGCAAGAGACTGTACCGTTTATGGCTGCTCAAGGGGCTTCGTGTCTCTCCTGCTTGTCACATTGAATCCTGACAGGTGTCTCTGGCTTCTGCTCTCTCCCCAGGCTGGGCCACCATCGTGGGGCTCCTGTACCACACTGTGCACCATTACCTGAGCAACATTCCGCCAGCCAGCACGCGGTGAGTCCCTTGGGTCACACAGCATGGAGGGAGGCATATGTGCCCTTGTTCGTAGGTGGCTGATTCTGGTGACATGCTCCCTGATACACATTCCCCCCCACACAATGTCATGTCAGAGAACTCTGTGCAAAGGCTTGGCACTTCACTGCTAGAGCCAGAAAATGCCTTTGAGCAAGACCCAGAGCTGCTACGCCAGGCGCTGCACAGGCTGCCGCCACCTCCCCCTCTGAACTCAGTTTGCACTCCTGCTGCAGGAGTGGGGGCTGCGATGGACACAGGTGGGTAAAGCCACTGATAGCAATGTAACTAGGAGGCAGGGACTACAGAGTCACAGGGCAGAAGAAGATGGGAACAGGTGGGCCCTAGACTCAGCAGGGCCCAGGGGATGCATCTGGGCCCAGCCTCCATCTCCCGCCTCTGCTGCCCCTGTGCTGGCTCGGTCCCAGGAAGGCCCCTGCAGCATCAGCTCCCGTGGGTTGGGCTCTCTCCTGAAAACACAGTCAGAACTCTGTGGGTCTGATGCTCCCAGGAGACTGCCCTCCTCCAGGTGTCCTTACAATGGAAGAACCTGGGGGACCCGTTACTCTTTAGAAGTGTGTGATTTCTAAAGTTCTTCAGAAAAATGGTCATACAAAAGTGCAATCTAGTTTCCTCAAAGAGATGCCCTCTCAACTATTTGGGGAAAATTTTCTCAAACCCAAGATCATGAATGAAAAATTGACCTCTCCTTGATCCCTCTGGCTGAAGGTTCTGCTGTGAAACTGGCTTTTCAATGAAATACATGAAACGCACATCTGTGAGGCGCAGCTGTGCCCTGCACAGGCCGAGAGGGGGAACCTGTGGGGATTGCACACCCCCTTCCCACACAGAAGAGGCAGAGGCATCGCCTGCAGACATCAGGGGGACACACATACAGCTTAGGGTCAACTCTCTATAATGAAGTAGACTCCTGGCTCCTGCTGGGGCGGGCCAGCTCTTTCATAAAGGGCCAGATTGTGAATATTTGTGGCTTTTGGAAACTCTGCCCTTGCAGGGTGAAGGCAGCCACAGACAACATGCAGGGAATGGGGGCTGGCCGCCTTCCAGCTCAGCTCTGTTTTACAGAGCCAGGAGGCTGGCCTGGGCTCTGGTCTGCAGATCCCGGCAGACATTCCCTTTTATCTGCCCTGGTGGTGATGGGTAAGGAGAGGCTGAGGGGCTGGCTCTGGGAGACCCCCAGCCTACCCTGGGAGATGGTCCAGCCATAGAGCCTTAGTCTTTAGGCCCCCACCATCCGCACTCCCCCCAGTGTCTGCAGAGAGGACATGGGAGCTTCAGGACCCACATGTTTTGTCCTGGGCTACTATGGTCAACTCTTACTTCCCCTCATATCGAGGGGCCAGAGGTTGGACAGCAAGGCCCCCTACCTGACCCATCATTAGCATTGACCTCCCCAACAGCAAGGCTTCTGTTGGTAGCACATTTAAATGCTGGAAAGCAGAACGGTGCACTCTGCAGGGACGGGAACATGGTTTTCATGTGTGCAGGGAAGTTGGATCTGGAGCTGGGCCAACCTCTCGAGTCAGCACTTAGCACCTCAGGTCTCCCTGTCAGAATGGGCCTGTGAAGGGGACGGTTAGTGCTGCGGATCATGGCACAGGTGTGGGTGCAGCCTCCTGGTGTCACCTTCCCAGCAATGGCCCCTGTTAGTCATGTACACCCCAGCAAATGACTTGCGTCTGCACCTGGTGCACCTCTCTGATGACGGGACTGATTTCTGAGGGTCGCCGTGAGGATTAAATGAGTCACTTGTTTAAGTAGCGCTTGGCACCCCTGAATGCACGAGGGGGGGCCTGCTTCCTTTACTGTGCAGGATGATTGGATGTTTGTGCCTTTTTGCCTTTAACATAATTTTCGAATTTCAAGCACGGCTAGGAGCTGATTAGCAGAGTCCCCATGTGGGCAATGCTGAGTGCTCCTGCTTGCCTGTGGTTGCAAGCTCATTCCCCAGCAGTTGTCATGGCCGAGGGATGTGGTGCTGATGGATCTAGGCCTGGACACTGGGGTTTACTTCTGAGCCAAGAAGGAGTGCCCTCCGGAGTATGTAGGCCGAGTGGGCTGGGGGGGCCCTAGAGGGAAACCAAGGTACCTTATCAGGAGAAGATGAAAGGGCTGCTGGGGTCACAACAGCTGGAGTCCTCTGCAGAGTATGTAGGCTGAGTGGGCTGGGGGGGCCCTAGAGGGAAACCAAGGTACCTTATCAGGAGAAGATGGAAGGGCTGCTGGGGTCACAACAGGTAGAACTCAAACCATAGAACAGGGTAGTGAGTCATCAAATCCATCTGCAAGCTCCATGTTACCCATAACCGCAAGTACTGCCCAACAGAAATCAGAGTTCCACCCAAAAAGGATTTTGGTCTCAAACATTTCATGTTTGACATTAAATTCTAAACCCAATTTCCAGCTGAGTGACTCTCCTCTCTATTTTTCATATTGTAATGATTTCCCATTTTCCCCCAAGGATCGCAGAGGCAGCGAGCTACAAAGGTTGTTTGCTGTCTGCCGCCAGCGCCCTCATCTCCCTGGAGGTTTCCCCACCACCAACACTGTCCCAGAACCTGTCCGGGTCTCCTCTCGTCACCATCCACCTCAGGCACAAGCTGGTGAGTTTCAGCAGATTCGCTGTCCTTGCATCTGGCTTTCCGCTGACAAACATTTGCCTGTCCACGTGATTGTACAGAGAATCTCAGGTGAAATCGGTGCTGACCAAAATTGGCATTTTCTGCTCACTCATGTTGGTTCCTTTTTCTGCAACTCTGGCTATGGAATGAAGTGGGAAGACTCCTGGTGTCCCTGTTGGGTGAAAAGGCCTCTGAGGCCCAAGGGAGCTTGCCTGGACGTTTCTCTGACTTATAGCAAGTGGCCCTTCAGGAGGAAGGGTATGGACCGGCCATCTCTCAGTTACCTGGTGCACAGCCATTAGCAAGGTGAAGAGCCCCGTTCTGTCTGAAAGGAACAGCCCATGCAGCTTGGGAGAAACCGTTTCTAAGCCTCAGATTTTGAGCGATGTGCTGTTTGTCCTGCTGCACCACAACCGCAGGCCTCTCTGCAGGCCATTTGTCTTTGCTGGTGATAAGACTGACAGAGACATCAGCACAGGGGTGCAGCTGCCCTTTAGAAACACATGCACAGCTTACCCAGGCAAGCTTGAGGAGTGGGGTACAGGGTTGCTGCAACATTCAAAATTGGGGATTTTTCAAGGAATTGGTCAGAGAGCTCAGAATATTCTGGTCGTTCAAAGGCTAGGATAGAATCTTCTGTGTCATTCACTTCATCCTGTGCTGTTCTGCTTCACGCCAGCAAGTTTGCTAAAGGCCGGCTCTGTGCCACACATGGGTGGACACCCAGGGTTCCTTGGGGGTGACAGTGTTCTCATCCCCCCAGAGGGGCCCACACTCCTGGTTGCAGAGTGACCTGGGCAAGTCTAGAGATGGGTTGGCTGCCTCCCTCAGACCTTGCCTCAACCTGCCCCAGTGCTCCAGCCTCTTGTTCCTGTGGCAGTGCCTCCCCCATCCCCGTGGTTCTCAGCTGTGGTCTCCTTGTCCTTCCTCAAGCTCCTCGGTGCCACTTCCATTCTTACTGTGGTGTCCAGGACATGCATGGACCCTGCTTGAGTGTCACCTCCATCCCTGGCACCTGTCTCAGCAGAGCCTCTCCCTGGACCTCCCCTGGGGCAGGTCCTCACTAGGGCTTGTAAACATGTGTACTTCCCTCACTCCCAGAAATGCCAGACATTAGCACTTCATTAGCGCTTCATTACAACAGCTGATTGTTTATGCAAGTCTCCTAAGCCAGCCCATAGGCTTCTAGAGAGTCTAATGTGGAGTCACTTGTTTTCCTGCTTGGTGCTATGCATGAAGCTTGTGGCAGTGAGAGGCCCAGGAGATGCTTGCTGACCACGCTGCAATGGAGTCAGCAGGCACCATGTGAGGCCCTGTCTTGGTGTTGTATCTGTGGGTCCCTCTGTGCATGCACAGAACTCACATTGGCACTAGCTCTCCCCCCTGCCCTTGTGGTGAGGACACTGCTAACTCTGTAAGCTTCCCAAGCTCTGTCTATGGGTGGGAAATTCAGCTGTGATGTGCAGGGGGAGACATTTTAGGGCTCCCAGCTTTCAGGGTGTTGTGATGCTGCCTTGAGAGATTGTAGGCCCATAACTAGGAGTGTATGAGAGTGGGGAAGGCTCATTTCCGAAGACTCAAGGGCCTCTGTGTGTTTGAGGTTGAAGTTGCCCTTGTGACAGGGACCCTGGGGGTCACAGCAGATGATGTGGGGGCAGGGTGGGGAGTGGGAGTCAGGGTCAGGTCCAGGGGATGGGCAGGTCCTGGCAGGGAAGGACCCAGCCGTGTTCAAGTGTCTGGGCTGCAGGGAACCACAGTGCAAGCCACACGTGCACACACATACATAGCACCCAGAACACATGCACACAAATGCACACAGCACCCAGAACATGCACAGATACATGCACACAATGCTTAGTACACACACACACACAAGCACACAGCACCCAGAACACACACATGGAGATTCACCCTCACCGCACCCTTGTTGGACACCCTTGTTGGTGTGACCCTGGATTTGGGGAAGTGGAAAGTGACTTTATTTTGTTTGTCATGGCTCAGGGCATGTCAGGGACCTCATACCTCTGTCTGTTCCCAACCTGGCAGCCTCCATCCTCCCTCAGAGCCCTCTGGACCAGCTCCCAAGGAGTCAGGGACTCGGTAAACTGAGTCACATGTTCATTGTCATATTGTGGGGCCACATCCGCATTCCTCTGGGCCTACACACCTGACCCTTCACCTCAGAATTCTGCCTCACCCCTGCCATGGAGAACCCTCCTGCCATGCCACCTGAGCAAACTGCAGTCACAGAGGGGTGGGTCCTTCTGGAGCTTTCCCTGAGAGACGGTCACCCAGTGAGACAGAGGCAGGACCTGTGCCTTGGTTGGAGGCCCCGTGCCTTGGTTGGAGGCCCCGTGCCTCGGTCGGGCGTCTGCTCAGCCGGCGTCTCTTGTGATGCTCCATCATCAGTTTGTTTCATGCCAAGCTCAGGGCACATAATCATGTTCTGTGCTTAGTGGATTTAATGGCACTATTGAATCATTTTTGTTACAACAGATGTTTATATTCTCACGGAACTTCTTTCTCAGAGAACTGTCTTAATCTCTGCATCATTTATAGATAAGCGTACTCGTTTGCTTTCAGGACAGTCCAAGGTCAGTGAGGGGGTTTGCTTTTGAGCTGCTGCTGGTTCTCTGTGGTCCTGCAGAGTTTGAAGCCCTGGGCCAGGCGGTAGATGACAGGTGGCATCCTGGTGAGGCTGGGGCTCCATCTCTGTGGCCTTGGGCTCAGACTCACTAGATAGGTGAGTCCTCAAGCTCATGCCAGGCATCAGAACCCAGCATGCAGGCGCCATCAAATAATCCAGACTCAGACCCCGACTTTTGGCTGAGCTGCTGTGGCCTCTGCTGACCAGCTCCTGCCACTCCTCGGGTCTTCCTGAGGGCTGGCTATCTTCCTATCCAGGGGAACTTATTGGACTGAGACCTTCTGCAGCTCAGACCCCAAGACCAGGCGGCAGGTGGCTGGTCAGAGGCCTTTCTAGCAGGTTAGCAGAGGAGCTGACCACGATGGTGGACGCACACCACCTGGGAACACTGGCCCAGGATGGCCCACCTCCTGCTCCCTCTGGCACGTGCTGGTGTTTCCTGATATAAAGAGCTGTCAGAAACTGCAGTGCTCTGTCAGTTGAAATTGCTCACTGCATTTAATCAGAATCTTAATTTTCAAATCAAAATTGAGATGTCACCTTTCCCAGGTCGATGAAGATGAAACTGTTTTCTGCAGAAGAAAGTGAGACCTGAGCAAAGTAGATACTTTGGCAAGTTTGAGAATTAGAAAACCAGAAATAAGTATGGCAGATTGCTGAGTGGTGTCAGTTTTGATTGTCATTGTCAAAAATTCACTCCTGAAACAGCTTCAGCTCCATCTTGAAGGCAGGCCATCAGCCAGGCTGTCGTCAGGTTTGAAAGGGATCGGTTCTGGTGAGGGTGCTGAGGCAGTGGGAGTCGAGAGCTGGCGGAAGCAGGCTCTGCCTTCCTGCGCCTGCCGACATCATCCAGGGCAGGACCAGGGCTGTGTGGATGAGGCCTACACTCTGCAATGGGCCGTGACTGGAACACAGGCTACACCATAGGTACCGCTGCCTGGTACCTATGTGGCAATTGCTGTGGCAATTGCTGTGAGTCTCCATGATTGCCCATGTGCCTGTCATGGTCAGTCTGAGAGCTCGTGTGACTGATAGTGCGGGAGGAGCCAGGTGGGTCCTGCTGTGGCCTCTGGGGCCATGAGTTCCGGGAATTCAGTGTAGGAGCAGAAACCTCCCCTGGCTGTGCAGAGTTTGCTGGAAGGAAACCTCGGGCTCCAGGACAGAAGAGAAGTCCGGGGATTCTGCCCCAGGGTGTTGGGGCTGGGCACTATAGGGGTCAGGCAGCCACCTCTGTACTCCAAGCCCCACCCCTGCTCACAAGGAGGGGTAAGAGGGGCCAGAGGAGGGTGAGGGGTGGGCCACATGGGGAGGCACAGGTAGAAAAGCGGGGCATGTGTGCCAAGCCCTAGCCTTCTGAAAACAGTGCTTGTCTGGATGGTGCAACATGGCCCCCGCAAGCTGTGAACTCCACAGCAGTACACTGACCAAGGCTGTGCCTGGACATTGAGCTGAGACCCCGGCACATCCATGGACCAGGCGTAGGGTGACTGATGTGATGGAAGGCAGCCCTCAGTCTTCTTGGGGTGTCACCATAACCTGTGACTTTTAAAGAGCAGCCCTAAATCTAGGCTTTAAATCTTCTCTGTGGATTTGTCTTGTTAGGAGCTAATTCAAATTTGTTTCCAGTGTTGTCAAACAAAACACATCCCTGGGTCAAATTCAGGCAATAGATCAACAGCTTACAAACTCAATTTTTTTAAGCTTTTTATTCTAAAGAGGTTTTAAACTTAGAGAAAAATTGCAAAAATAGTACAGAGTTCCTACGTACCGTTTACCGATATTCCCTAATGATAGTGATTTAGAGCACAGTAATTGAAACCAGGAAACTGATGATGGCACTAACTGACCTCCAGCCGTGTTGCACCATGTGGGTTCTCCCACTCGGGGCTTTTTCTGTTCCAGGAGCTGATCCATGCTCTCAAGGAGTCCTTGGTTGTCACATCTCCTAAGCAACCTCAGTTGGTGATGGTTCGTCAGCTTCTCTTTGTCTCCTGTGGCCTTGACACTTCTGGAGACTGCAGGCCCGTTATTTTGTAGAATGCCCCTCAATTTGGGATCGTCAGATGTTTTCTCCCAGCTGCGATGAGGTTGACCTTCTTTGAAGGGAAAGCCACAGAAGTGAGATTGTGCCTTTCCGATGACATGGTCAGGCCAGGGTAGTCTGCCTGCCGCTGCCACAACAACAGAAATTAATTTTCTCACAGTTCTGGGGGCCAGAGGTCCAAGATCTCTATGTTAGCAGGATTGGTTTTCCCTACGGGTTCTCTCCTTGGCTTGCAGACACGGTCTCCTCCCTGTGACCTCACAGGGGTGTCCCCCCTGCCATGAACGCCTG